TCTCTCATTCTCTCTCTCTCAAATAAATAAATAAAATCTTTAAAAAAATAAAAATTAAAAAAAAATTTAAAAAGAAGAGTCCATTTTTTGTCTTGTTTTTTTGTATTTTAGATTCCACATATATATGAAATCATATAGTATTTGTCTTTCTCTGACTTATTTCACTTAGGATTATACCCTCTGGGCCCAACCACTTTGTCACAAATGGCAGGATCTCATTCTTGGGGCACCTGGCTGGCTCAGTCTATAGAGCATGTGACTCTACAAAAGTTCAAGATTGTTGAGTCAATGATCCCATCGTTGGGTCATGACTTTAAGCCCCATGTTAGGCATAAAGCTTACTTTAAAAATAAATAAATAAAATGTGTGTATCTTAAAAAAAGGATCTCATTCTTTTTTATGTCTGAGTAATATTCATGTGTGTGTGTGTACCACTCTTCTCTACCCATTCATCTATCTGTGGATACTTAGGTTGCTTCCATATCTTGAATATTGTAAATAATGCTGGTATAAACATAGGGGTGCATATATCTTTCCAAATTAGTGTTTTTGTTTTCTTTGGGTAAGTACCCAGTGGTAGGATTACTGGATCATTTGCTATTTCTATTTTTAATTTTTTGAGGGAGCCTCCATATGGTTTTCCAGAATGGCTGCACCAATTTACACTTCCACCAACAGTGCATGAGGGTTACTTTTTCTCCACATCTTCTCCAAGACTTGTTATTTCTTATCTTTTTTATTTTAGCCATTCTGAAGGTGATACTTCATAGTGTTGTGGGGTTTTTTTTTTAAGATTTTATTTTTAAGTATTCTCTACACCCAATGTGGTGCTCAAACATACAAGCCTAAGATCAAGAGTCACATGCTCTACCAACTGAGCCAGCCAGCCGCTCTCTCATTGTGATTTTGATTTGCATTCCCCTGATGATTAGTGATGTTGAGAATCTTTTCATGTGTCTGTTGGCCATCTATATGTCTTATTTGGAAAAACGTCTCTTCAGTTCCTTTCCCTATTTTTAAATTGGATTATTTGTTTTTGTTTTTGTTTTTGTTTTTTGGTGTTGAATTGTATAAATTCTTTATATATTTTGGATATTAATGCCTTATTAAATATATCACTTGCAAGTATTTTCTCCCATTCAGTAAGTTGCCTTTTCATGTTTTTTGATGGTTTCCTTCATTGTTCAAAAGCTTTTTATTTTGTGTAGTCCCAATAGTTTAATTTTGCTTTTGTTTCCCTTGCCCTAGGAGACATCTAGAAAAGTGTTGCTAAGGCCAATGTCAAAGAGATCACTGCCTATGTTTTCTTCCAAGAGTTTTATGGTTGTAGGTCTCAGATTAGGCCTCTAATCCATTTTGAGTTTTTGTGTGTGGTGTAAGAAAGCGATCCAGTTCCATTCTTCTGCATGTAGCTGTTTAGTTTTCCCAGCACCAGTTGTTGAAGAGACTGTCTTTTCCCCCATTGTATATTCTTGCCTCCTTTGTCATAGATTACTCGACCATATATGCATAGATTTTTCCTTCGGTCTTTGTTCTATTGATCTACGTGTCTGTTTTTGTGCCAGTACCATACTGTTTCGATTACTACAACTTTGTAGTATATCTTGACATCTGGGATTGTGATAACTCCAATTTTGTTCTTTTTCTCGATTGCTTTGGCCATTTGGGATCTTCTGTGGTTCCATACAAATTTTAGGATTATTTGTTCTAGTTCTGTGAAAAATGCTGTTGAAATTTGATAGGGATTGCATTAAATTTGTAGATTGCTTTGGGCAGTATGGACATTTTAACAATATTTGTTCTCCCAGCCCATGAGCATGGAATATCTTTCCATTTGTTTGTGTCATCTTCAATTTCTTCCATCAGTGTTCTATAGTTTTCGAGTACAGGCCTTTCACTTCCTTGGTTAAGTTATTCCTAGGTATTTTATTATTTTTGGTGTAATTTAAATGGGATTATTTTCTTAAATTTCTCTTTCTGCTGCATTATTATTAGTGTATAAAAATGCAACAGAATTCTGTATATTGATTTTGTATCCTGCAGCTTTACTGAATTCATTTATCAGTTCTAATAGTTTTTGGTGGAGACTTTAGGTTTTCTAGATATAGTACTAAGTCATCTGCAAATAGTAAAAGTTTTACTTCTTCCTTACCAATTTGGATGCCTTTTATTTCCTGTCTGACTGCTGTGGCTAGGACTTCCAGTACTATGCTGAATAAAAGTGGCAATAGTAAACATCCTTCTCTTGTTCCAGACCTTAGAGGAAAAGCCTCTCCATTTTTCACCATTGAGTATGATGTGAGCTGTAGGTTTGACGTATGTGACTTTATTATTTTGAGGTATGTTCCCTCTAATCCCACTTTGTTGAGAGTTTTTATCACAAATCGATGTTGAATCTTGTCAAATGCTTTTTCTGCGTGTCCTGAGATGATTATATGATTTTTGAGATGATATTACTGTATTTTAAAACAAATCCCAGACATTGTTTTAACTTTCCTGTACTGTTTGAATTTTCCAATCGTGTGAGTATCCTAATTATTATATTTCACTGTTTTATACTTATTATATATTTTTAAAATCTGAGTAGTAGGATCATAGGTTATGGAAATACTTTTGTAGTTTACTCTGAGAAAGTATTGTTAATTTTAAAAGAAAAAAAGCTACAAGTGATTAAGTAATTCTTAAAGAATGCTTGTTAAAATAACCCAAGCAATATAAAAGCGGCAATGGCTAACCACACATAGTAATACTTGTTATTCACGAAAAAATTTTTGGAGGGGTGCTCATTGCTTCAGAGGTCTGGGAGTAGATGGCTGCGTAGTGCTGGGGACACAGGCACGAGGGTAGATGAGAGACACAGACGTACTCTCCAATTCACTGTTTGCCAATGAGAAGTGGACATAATAGAGGTGATTTTAGGGGATATTTGGGAAAGGTATTATATACTCTGGAATCCTGCAGTGCAAAAGTTATTCCTTATTCAAATCTCTTTCCACCTTTCTAAATTGACATGGAGAAAGGGTCAGATTGATGCTAGTATGCTTTTAAAGCCCTCTCTTCCCCTTTTTGTAACAGAGAGAGAATTCAAAGCCTTCAGCTGGCAACAGTCTAATAATGTCTGTCTATGAGAAGTGATTCCTAGATTTCAGTTATGGTGATGATGAGTTTCTTGTTTAAATAAAAACATTTAGGTTAAAGAGTCAATATAAAGAAAAAATTAAGTAACGGTGTGGGTACCACGTGGACAGGGCAAACTTTGTGAAAGCAGACTGTAGGTAACCCAAGTTTGAGTAACACTGGGCTGGCCGGGGAACAGGATCCTTCCCCTGTACCCGGAAGGCAAGGAACAGAAGCTGGAACGACCCACTGCCACGTCTATGCTCATCTCTCCCTTTGTGAAATGCCCTCCACTGCCTTCCTGGCTTGGGGATTGCCCTTCTTCGTTTTCGCCGGCTCTCTCCTAAGCAGATGTCGGAGAGAAAGAAGGGAAGCTGCGCAGAGGGCTCAGCCACAGGCCTGGCCCAGCTCCCCGCCCGCCCTTCCGCTGCGGCAGAGGCACACTGCGCTCCGCCGGCCGGGACTGCTTTGGGACCAGTAGATACCAACCCAGGAGAGCGACGTCCTCTGTCACCAGGCCACAGCCGCTCAGTCTCAGCACTCGAAGGGACCCTAAAAACTTCAGTGTTTCCAGAAGCAGCTTCAGGTTGCCACCAACACATTTATTCCAAGAAAGGTCGAATATTTCCAGAGCAGGGAGGTAAGTGGAGGCTTCAGCTAAAATTGATAACAGAAGAGCAATCGTTAGGTTTCCCTCTTTGAAACTGAGGAACCTGGGGCAACATATTAATATAACTGAGGTAAGAAAGTTACAGAGACTGTCTTCTTTTGCCCGAAATTCATGACCACAACTTACACTGTCTAGTTTTAATTGGGAGAAATGTTGGAAACTTTAGAAAAGTAAAACTTGATTAAGTGGAATTCATTATCAATTGGGATTTTTCTTTAGTTCCCATCTAGGAAGGAGAAAGAGGCAGAGGATTTGGACAGCTAGTTGAGATTTCCAGAGCATGTCCTGGTTTTATATATTCCTGTGTTCAGTCACGGCTGAAGTTCAGAGATGGGGCCAAGCCTCCTCAGGACTCTGAAACACCCAAATGTGTTTGTGTCGACCTACCTGCAGTTATAGAAACAAGGAAGAGAACTAGTGGATTTTGGAGAGATTTTTAAATGAGGTTTAAAAGGTTCTGCTTAATTCTCAGTTGCCCCTAATGCTGAAATTAACCCTAACAACTTATTCCTAAGATATAGTTAATTATACTTTAACTCCACTCTTCTTTCTAAAGAATAACAGGTGTCCAAGCGGCAAATATATATCCTTTTATGATATCTATTAAGAAAATCCCTCCCACCTGCATGGTGCAGAGACCTACCAATAAGAAATGGAACTTTTTCTTCTAAAAGTGATATGGAGAATTATATGTTTACTTGACTAACTTCTTTTTTTGGAGGGGAGGGGAGAGAGAGCATGAGAGTGTTGGGGGGGGTGGGGGGAGAAGAGCAGAGGGCAAGAGAGAGAGAATCTTAAGCAGGCTCCATGTGGGGCTTGATCTCATGACCCTGAGATTATGACCTGAGCCAAAATCAAGCGTCAGACACTTAACCAACTGAGCCACCCAGGTGCCCCTGCTTGATTTACTTCCTAATTCAAATTGAATGATACATTTATTTCAGATTATATAATTTAATGTAATATCTACTTGATTATGATTCATTATGCAGCAATAATTGGGAAGAGCTCTATCTTCTGATGGCAAAAGACACAAAATTAAAAACAAAATTTTCTTTAAAAAATATCCAACTTTTTCCAACTAGGGACATCATGTTGTCCCTAAATTTATTTTTTGTGGAACTTTCCTAACTGAACATTAGTCTGAACAGTGTAATGTGTCGTGTGTGTGTGTGTGTGCGTGTGTGATGTGTATATGTGTGTTTACCTAACCATTTTGGGGATTACAGACCGCTTTGAAAAGTTAGTTTGTTTACTTGCTTAACTAATATTCAGAAATACCTAAAATGGGGTTAGGGTATGCAGTGAAGAATAAAAGCAATCTCTGCCTTCAAGGAGGTTATAAACTGTGGGAAATACATACACTGAGAAAAACACACAAATAAATAGATAATTAGAAATTCTAATAAAGGCTATAAAAAAGATACAGGGCCTCCTCATTTAGATCAGAGATGCTGTCCTAACAGGGAGCCTTTATGCTGAGACCTGAAGTCAGAGCTCCCCAGGAAAGAACAGGAGGCAGGTGCAGGCGAGGGGCATTCCATCCAGAGAACAGGAAGGCCTGGAGACAAGGGATTGCTCAGTGACAGGAAGGAATGGAAAGAAGCCAGCCGAGGCTTGTTCAGGGAGCAAGGGGGAGAGTGGCCAAGAGGTACTAGGGCCAGATTACCTGGGCCTTTTAGACCCCATGAAGGAATGTGGATTTTACCAGAGATGCTATGGGCCACCACTGTGTCTTTTTTAACTGGGTAGTGATAAGATCCAAATTACTTTGTAAATGAAATTTATAGATTCCCTCCCCAAATAATATTAACAACTGACATTCACTGAGCATTTACTATGTGCCAGGTACCTTTTCAAGAACTTTACATGTATCAACACATTTAATTCTTACAACCCCATGAAGTATGTACTATTTTTCCATTTTACATTTTACAGACAAGGAGACTGAAGCACGGAGATGTTAACTATCTCAGGTCACAAGAGCCAGGGCCAGGATTTGATTTTAGGCAGCCTGATTCTAGGTGCTTTGGAGCCAGAAAATGTACCACATATGTCCCCCACAAAATAATTACAATCAATTTCCGGGAGTTCACAGTCCCCTCCCCCAGGGCACAACTCTAGACTGACTCTCTGACCCAGGTTGAGAACTCCAGATCTGAAAGGTACATATCTTGCTATTTTCCCCAACCAGACATGGGGACAAGGAGATGAGCAATGCTGGGAGAGGCGTGGGCGCAGTTCACAGCAAAGACCAAGTCTATGTGGGTTGAACAAAATACTTGGGCTGAAAGGGAGGCAAGAGTGCCTTAAATATAGAGGTCTTAGAATTTGGGGTGAGTTATATGCATTCATTTCTGTTAATAGATATCAATAAATAGCTTATTTTATTACTAGAATATGCTTATTTCATTAATAATAATTCATGTTTGGTCCATGGTACAATTCATTTTTCTAGAAGTGTCAACTGACAAACAGTACTTGGGGGTCAGAGAGAAGGACTCTGTTTTCATCCTTATCCAGGAAGCCCCGGAATGCAAGCTCTCTAGTCTGTGTGTGTGTGCAAAACAAGAGCTAACCTGCCAGGTCTGAGGCTGCGACCCCCTAAAGGCTTCCTGGCAAGGCTGGCTGGCATCTGGGCACTTGCAGTTTGGCTCTGTTCCAGCCATTCCTTACCTAATAAGAGTGGCTCGCTGTGCCTCCCCTGTGTGTCTACAAATTCCATGACTTATGTGGAACACCAGCTTTCCTTCTATGCTCTGGAATTTTGGTAGAGGGTGCCTGTGTGACCACCGCCCAGTAAAAGCCCCAGACGGAAGGTTCAGGTGAGCTTCCCCGGAAGGCATCATTTCACACGTGTTGTCAGAAGTCGCTGGGAGAAGGAAGTGTGTCCCATGTTACTCCACAGGCGGAGGTCTCTTGGAAGCTTGTACTTGGTTTCCTCTAAACTTTGTGCCATGCCCCATTCCCTTCGCTGATTTTGCTTTGTATCCTTTTGTTGTAATAAATCCCAACAGTGAGTCCGACTCTATGCTGAGACCTGTGAGTCCTCCTAGCGAATCACTGAACCTAAAGGTGGCGTTGGGGACCCCCATCCAGCAATGTGTGCCCAAAGTTCTTTGCCTGGGTGGCGGATTCTGCAAAATAATGCAAAGTGCCTTTGCCTCAAAATATCTCCCTCTACTTGCAGACGATGTTCTTGCCCCGGAAGAGGCACATTCCAAGATTCTGTAGGCCCTTGATCTAAGCTGGACTGTGTCTGTGACCTTCCAGCAGGCCCAGGTTCCTAGAGAGGACAACAAATCCTGCTGGAAAGTGGGTGCTGGGCAGTCAACTAGGCTCACACACTAGCAATTGCCTCACTTTTCCCATCAGACTCCCAGCAATCCAGTTTATATTGGCACCTCGGTGAAATCCCAAGTTACCATGGATATGGCCTCCAGAGTCGGCTACATACACTTTAGATTTTAAATGTTAAATTTGCAAATGCCAGCCAGAATCATTCATCTGGCCCCCAGAAAGCCACTTTTAAGAAAGCACATTTCCTGAGAAGAAGACAAATTAGTAATTCACAACTTTGCCTCTGGCAGAGGCTTGGCATGAAATTCCTATGTAGGAATATGTGGACTCATGTGTTACTGTACATGCCTGCAGGGATCTGGGGAATTCTCTTACCGAGGGCGGTAAAAGTCTCACTCTCCAGAGCACAGCTGTTGATGAGTAAGGACTTCAGTGCTGGTAAAAATCGGAGCCGGCTGAGGAGGTTTTCAGAAGAGCTGCCCATCTTTTTGTTGGCAGATAAATCCAACTCTTGAAGACTCGAGAGTAAAGGGATTACCTGGGCTGTTAAAATGTCAGCAGTGACATGTTTTAGGCACCATCTCACAAAGAGTCTTCTGGATATTTGGGTCCCACGGTCCCACAGTCTCCGTCCCTTACACACACGCACACCAGCCACACTCCCCAGTGTGTAGCTTGGGCTGTTCTACTTCCAAGCCTCTCTCCAGGCTAGACGTTAAGAGCAAAGACCTTGGAGACAGAACTGGGTTCTAATCCTGCCTCTGCTGCTAAAGAACTGTGTGATTTCAGGAAAGTTACTTAACCTCTCTGAACCTCAGTTATCGCCATAATAATAACAACAACAGTACTTCACAGGGTCACCGGGAAGAAAAAAATGACTTGGTATAGGTAGGTATGCTGGGATCTCTGTTGGGCTGGCTCACCTCCGCAGAGCCTTCCAGGGCCCCCTAAGCCACAGAAGCCCTTGGTCACTGTTACATCACCCTATTTATTTTTGCTTATGTGTTTGTTTTCTGTCCTCCCCCACCAAAGGTGAGCTCTGTCTGTAGGGCCTGCTTCCTCCCCAGAGTGTGCAGAAGAATCCAGAACACTGGAGGCACAGACATTTGTGGAAGGAGGGAAGGAAGATGGGAAGGAAAGGAAGACAGGCAGGTGGGATCCCAAGAGATGTCACGGTTTCTTCCTCTTCACCATGTAGTTGGTTTATTCCTGTCCCTACCAGACGGAGGCTCCCAGACTGTGAATTTCCCTTAGCGCATGGCACAGTGCCTCGTACAACTAGATGGTTAATCAAAAGTTGTTGGCTAAACAATCTGTAATTCCATTTCTTTGGAGCTATCTAGAATGATCAGATAAAAGAATGGTGAGTTATTTAGCCTCCTAAGGTATAAACGGAATGTATTTTCATTTCCATCTTTTCAAAATTAGGCAGTAGAACGATGCAATTTGCTACAGTTCTTAAATAAATCATGAGCTTTTCAGGGCCTTTCACCCATGTTGGTGGTGGTGAATCTGGTAAGAGGAGCTGATCCCCCTCTTAGGCTATTGGTAACAGTTGAGGTCCCTCTGGCCCTGGAACCTTCCTCTGAGTAACAAGATGAGAGGTGATATTCATGTTACTCCGTTGTACCAAGGGAAATTCATTCTTTGGAATCTGCTCGCTGATAATCCAAGAGTGTTTCCTCCAGGTATGATGCTCAGAAGTAAAGGGGATGGTGATACCCCATACGCTCCACCTGGAGCTCAGAAACGGATTGTTTTGTTCCTTTAAAATCCTTATGAAAGCCTTGAACTTTTCTGTTTTCCAAATTGAGGCATGAGTCCCAAATGTAATTTAGCAGGTCTAAAATACAGATGTTAGACCTAAGAACCTATTTTACTCTTTTCCTTCCCAAATTGTACTAAAAACAACTAAAAAATTCTTTTTATTCTTGTTCTTAATTGATTCATTCATTCGATCATATTCAACAATCATTTCCTGGGTGCCAACTATGTACCAACCCCCGTACCTGAACAAAGGAGAGATGCTGAAGGGGCTCCCAACACAGGAGGGGTCCGTGATCTGGAGAGGGAGCAAGGACAAAGGCCCCAGGGACAGAGGGTCAGCCCAGACAAGTGGCTGGTGTGGAGTCCAGGAGGGGAAGGCTAGGGAACGAAGTCAGAACGACAGAGGAGGAACAGTAAGACCATTTGGACTGGTAATAATCTGGGCACGAGATGACAGTAGCCTGAACCAGGGTGGTAAAGGTCTAGATGGTGAGCTGTGGTGAGATCCTGGAGGTATTTTGAAAGTTTACTGTGGCCACAGATGGAGTAAATCCCTTAATGGCAAGGCTGCACTTACACTGCTTGTTATGGGAAACTGCATTTATACATTACGTTTTATAATTACAGGATTATGCCTACAGTGGGAAGTTAAGCGTAGGCACCTAAAGGTAAAATGTACACCTGTGATGCACCACCCTAAATTCTTCTGTAATTTCATTTGTATCTAAGGGGCTTGACTTCACTTGTTAGTCAGTAAGCCTCAACGCCCTTTGTTTGGCTTTCTCTCTACATCCCTGTTTGAAACAAACTTTGTGACTAACAGAGTCATTTCTAAACAGTAACATATATTCAAAATGTTCTCCACCAAGTGCCACATCCATCATTTACAAACATGTATAGGAGGAATTTAGATTCACTAACATTTACTGGGCACGTAATATATGCCAAATACAATATTGGGGCATTCACAGAACTTTTATGATTTGATGCTTTTGGTTAAGTTTAAGTAAGTTTCAGGGGACACCTCAAATTTGCCAAGTTCCAAACATATACTGAGGTTCCAAAAGTCCTTCCTCGGCTCTATCGTTCACACTTACTCAGTGACATCACATCATCTGCCGTTAGCGAGCACTGGTGAAGATCCAAAACTTCTAGATGCTCCAACGTGGCCAGCTGAGCTGATGAGTCTTCAAAACCCCCACTCAGCTCCCTGTTGCAGGAAAGGTCTAATTTCTTCAGTTCACACAAGGACCTAAAAGCAGCATCTACAAAGAAAGTCAAAAGTCCCATTCTGACAGGTTAGAAGGTGGAAGGCAGGTGTGGAACAGGGGAGGGGGCAGGTGTGCAGAAGGGAGATGGAGAAAATACACTGGGTTGGGAAAAGCCAAGACAGAGGAATAACATTAGACTCCCTGCCATCTGGCCCTCTTTGGACTTGACCATGGCTTCAAACACCCCACCCCCAGCACCCCGTGATCTGCGTTGACTGCCAATGGCTTTGGTGGAACCTTGCAACGGATGGTTCTCCTCCTCCTACACTGGAGGCATTGGCATTTCACAGAATTCTAGACTTCCTCAAACCGCCAGTGAGAAGGGTATTACAGACTCTGTAAGTCAAAGGGGAACACACAATTTCATGTCATGTTCTCCCCACAGATGCCACTGGAGCTATTCTTTTTATCAGTACCAATTCCTTCCTACTACTGAGCATAAAATAATGCTGACATTTTCAGAAGTAAGAGAAAAATGGAGAGCTTTTGTACCACATAACTTTTCTTTTGCCCAGTGTCTATCTCAAACCCAGAATATCCTGGCCTTTTCAGAGGCAGCCATTTTAAGAGGTTATTCTTAGAATCATGAAAGTATGTGCTTACTGTAAAAGACTCTGAAAAGGATAAAACAAAGAAGATTTAAATTACCTATAATCTGGGCGCCTGGGTGGCTCAGTCGTTAAACGTCTGCCTTCGGCTCAGGTCATGATCTCAGGGTCCTGGGATCGAGCCCCGCATCGGGCTCCCTGCTCCACGGGAAGCCTGCTTCTCCCTCTCCCAGTCCCCCTGCTTGTGTTCCTGCTCTCGCTGTCTCTCTCTCTCTCTCTGTCAAATAAATAAATAAAATCTTTAAAAAAAAAAAAAATTACCTATAATCTCATTCCCCAACATAACCACTGTGTATATTTTGTTGAATTTCCTAACACCTTAAAAAATTAAATATAAACTAAAATTACATGTGTATGTAAAAACCCCAGTCACTGCTAACTCACCCAGTAGTTTGACACTCTCTTGTGATAGTCCACATGCGTGTAACTTCAGTACTTTCAGATTTGAGGTACTTTTTAATCCCTGAGCAATACTGTTCAGACTGGCACCAATGTTTCTGTTAATGGAAAGATCAAGGACTTCGAGATTTTGCATCATGGGTAGCAACTGACCTAGAGGGAAGGAAGTGAATCCAAATGAGAAGAGCAACTCAGTAAAAACCCAGGTTGTGAATGTTGGGGCAGGAAAGGGAGGGCAGCCTCATGTGACCCCGGGGCTATAGTGAGCCACTCTTTCCATTCAGGGTAAAACAAAGCACAGCCAACTTTGAGCCTTTGACTCTCAGGCTGTCTGCTTGTGGGTGTCTTCACATTTATATTCTGGGAAGGACCCTTCCGATTTCCACTTACCCACAAATGCCCCATCTTCAGATGTGAGGTCACAATCCACAAGCTCAAGTGTTTGTATCTTGCTCCCTTCTTGGAATTTCTGGAGGGTCAGAGGCAAATTTCCTCCCACTTCACTGTTCCAGGACAAGTTCAGCTCTTTCAGTTCAAGTATCACCTCGAGTGCTTCTCCTGTTACAAAAGAGCCCGAAGATGGGGTCGACTGCTAATCCACAAAGCAGGGAATCCACCTCGAAATCAGCACAAGCGTGATTTATGGAATGATAATGGCTGGGCCAGGGACTGGTCAGGTGCCGAGGAACAGAGCAGACCCAGTTACCACCCGCTCCCAGCAGGCTAAGCCCCTGTATTTACAGGCACAGCAATTCTAGACCCTCCAAGGTTCAGAAGCCATGCCTCTGTACAAAAATTATTGTCAAGAAAACCCCACCTGTCAGTAGGGTGGTTTCACAGAGTTGTTTTTATGGTAGTAAATACATGTACTATTCCAACTCCTTTCTCTCGCCCACCTTGTCTGGGGTCAGCATCACTGGGAAGCTGGACCAGAGGATGAGGTGAGGCCACGCAGAGCCCTGGCCGCCACGGGGGTAAAGCTCACTTTGACATCAAGAATATCACGTACAACTGAACCGAGCCCTCCAGAGAACTAGTAATAAAGCATAAGGTGCTAGCAGCTCGTAACAGCCATGCAGCCTTGGAGGGTAGAGGAGGATGCAGTGAGAAAGGGGTGGAACTTCACATTTCTGAAACCCTTCAGCAGAGGAAAGCAACCGAGGGCTAGAACGGAGGCTGGGCGAGAACAGGGAAGTCACCAGGGAAATCAGCCTTAGGAATGACTTCCACTGCCTTGGGGAGAACAGGGCGGAGAGGCACACACATGGAAAATGCACTTACGCAATGTGCAGAGTCTATCTCAACACCGAAGAGTTAAGAGTACTGGAAAGTCCCCTGTGTCTAGAAGCCTCTCCTCCATGGTCCACTACTGGACGTGGACTCCTGCCATTGGCTATTCATTGTGAGGACTGAGGTTTCAGGAGTCCAGGAGCCTCACGTTAAAATGCGTGTTCTCCCAGCACAGGTGCCATTTTGTGTGCCACCACCAGTCAGTTGGGGTGGCTTTCGATAGCCCTGAAGCACTCCTCAGCATCAGGGACAGAGAGTACATGACTGATCAGCCATGTCTGCAGTGCACATGGTACTGGGGAGCCATGCTTCTGTCATCCCACACTCAGCAGTTGTAACAGGTATAATAATGTTGGAATGCCTCCTGATTTATGGTCTCTTTTCATTAAACCATTTATTCTCCCTGTACCCCATCTGCCATCAATGCTAAGGAAAGTCCCTTCTGATGGAGAAGATGCAGAAGCCCTTCCAGAGTGGAGAGGGAGTCTGGGAGAAGGAGCAGGTTACAAAACATCACAGCACCAAAGATGCAGACTCTCTCCTGAACCGGATAAGTTTGGAGTGAGTCCCAGGAGAGAAATTCCATTTCCCCATTTCTTCTTCTTTTTTTTTTTTTTAAGATTTTTATTTATTTATTTATTTGACAGACAGAGATAGCGAGAGAGGGAACACAAGCAGGGGGAGTGGGAGAGTGAGAAGCAGGCTCCCTGCTGATCAGGGAGCCCGATGCGGGGCTCCATCCCAGGACTTAACGACTGAGCCAACCAGGAGTCCCCATTTCCCCATTTTTTAAGGATGGAAGACCATGAACAAAATTTAGATTAATCATAGGAAATAAAGAAACTACATTTTCTTTTCACCCCTGAGTAGCAGTGAGTTAAATCTGCAACTCCACTACACAATAACCAGCTGCTAACCAGTGGGGCTCAACTGGTCACATAAAACCACTGAAAGTTAATTTCAGTGGGAGTAGTGAAAGGAGGAACTGTGCTCAATTACTGAGCACGTACTATGTGCCAGGCATGTAGTAAGTGCGTCACAGAAATTATTTAATCCTCACAGTAGTTTTTTGAGGTGGATATCAAACTTATTTCAGAGATAAGAAAGCTGAGGCTTACGAAGTTTAAATAATTGTCCATCGTCACAAAGCTAGTTAGAAGTGGGGATAGAATTTGAACTGAGACCTGGCTCTGAGATGTATGGTGTTTCTCCTCAGCTACAGGAAGGCCAGGGGGCATAAACGGATCCTGATTTTCTACAGAGGGATCAGAGAGAAGACATTTGACATAAGTTGTGTTGTTTTTACAGAAATGTTTGCCAAGATGTAAATGATCAAAATAATCACTGAAATAAGAAACTTCTGACCAAAAGAACTTTTAAAAATATGAATGGCATCTAAAACCATCAAGGATCATAGTAAAGAGTTGGATTAGTAGCATGACAAATTTTTTTTTTTTTAAAGATTTTATTTATTTATTTGACAGAGAGAGACACAGCGAGAGAGGGAATACAAGCAGGGGAATGGGAGAGGGAGAAGC